TGTATATATATATATATATATATATACACACACAAAAGATTTTCAGTAAGATATGTTTTTGAAGAACTTGAATAGATCTTAATGTATTTTAAATGGAAGAAATGTTTAAAAAGATACCACATTTCCTAGTTTGAATGATAATAAGCCCTCATGAAGACAGTTTAAAGTGGAGTCTTAAAGAAGCCGTAGTGACACATTTATAGCTGAAACATGAGGAAGGTGTGCTCAAGTGTTGCTATAATGACTTGTTGATTTTACTGTTGGTACCAGCAGCTGTGTAAACACTGTTCAACATAGTTTAGCTTCTTTAGCTCATGTTGAAATGACCCTGTTTATCTCAAAGCAAGAACAATTTGTCTTTTTTCCTCTAGTAAACTTCATCAAATGTGTGAAAAGTAAAACACGGAGTTTTTGTTTTAAATATGTTCTAAATAATAAGTTGTTTTTGTATGAGTAACATGTGAGGAAAAGCTGCTCAAATACATCAGCYGGCACTTTTATCATCACCCACTGTCAAAGACAAAAAGGTAGTTTTTGTGTTGTCTGTTAGCGAAATATCTCATGAACGACTGAATGAATTTTAATGAAGTTTTTAGAAAAAAACGTATTGGATGTACATTTATGACTCATTATGTTTTGGAGTCAACCTGCTTCAAAATGGCTGCCACAGCTTGAAAACACAAAAATAACTATAATTCAAAAGAGGTATATAAAGAACTTGGAACAATAACTGAGTAAAAGTAAAAAAGACTTATGTAAAGGAATTTCACTGATAAGAAAAGTATTATACAATCACAATAATTGGGAAAGTAAAAGGAAAAATAAACGTAATTTTTTTTACAAACACTCTAAAAATGAAGAGTTGAATTAAACTAAGTTATGTCACCTGGTTCCATTGAYTGAAGTTGAGTGAATGGTTCAGTTTGCTCACCTGGCTTGATGGAACCAGCTGATATAACTTGTTTCAGTAAATTGTTAAGTAAACTTAACACTTCATGTTTTAGAGTACATAAACCACTCTTTGCATGACGAGCTCTCATATTTAAATTTGTAACATGTCACTAGATGTTAACTTTTAAATAAAGAAGTAAAAG